AATTACTCTTGTTTGTATATTTCCATTTAATGTTCTACAAAATTTATGCTGGCCACATAGAAAACAATTGTATGTAATGTAGAAAGTACGTAAATGATCCTCGTAGACGTAATCTCGAAAATGTGCAACACAACCCCGCTTGAAAGGAAAGGAAAGTCGATGAGGAAACGCTTTTAACTCCGGAGTCAAATAAGCCGGTGGCTTCCCAGCTGACGATCGACGACGAGTGAACGTCGCTGAAAAATGTACGCCGGCTGTATCGTGGGACGTATCGCGATGATTTTCTAACAATTGAAAGTGGAAAGACTCTCACTCTCGACGCGCGAGAATTTCTAAACGATCTCGCATGCAAACAGCGTTTCCGTCCGGAGCGGAGTGGTAGGAAGCGCGAATTTTACGATGGGATTTCACGGCTCGCTTGAAGGAGGCGACTTTTCCGCAGCTCTGATGCCCGTGGACGAGATTCTCGATCGGTTCAGCGTAAAGTCTTTTGAAAGCGCCGCCGTACAATCGGTCGTAACACGACCGTGATTTTTCAGGTCGGTGGAGAGCATGCTCGCTGGAGAATGTCCAAGTCTCCTCGATCACGTCGGCGTCTGTCGCGATCGATAAACGCGGGCAACCACAATTCGCATTACTGTCTCGATATTAGAATTTTATTGGACAGCAGTGCGTCGTAAAAAGCGTCGTGGAAAGACGTGGGAATCAACGTTTTCAATGTCGAATCGATTGGTAACAAAAGCTAAAAAATTATACTTTGTTGGACCATTCTTGCATAACTATGGTCAATTAAAGAAGATTGGCAGACAAGATCACGCGTGATAATATACCAAGGTTAATAATTAAACGTCTACATACATTTTCTGCAAAATGATAAAGGATTTTTTGTCTACATTTTGACCTAATCCATACACGGAGAAAAATAATTTTGCTTTTTTAGCAAAATCGTCGTTGCTACTGCATATTCGTAGTGACATCAAAAAAATTTAGTTGACGTAGCTAATTTTACAAATTATTCATTATCAGAGCAGAAGTAGTTTCATTGCCAGGATAAAAAATATTTGTTGAGTGTATTTGTCCTAAGAATCACGTTAATTTGCTATTGATGCAAAATAATGTATTCTTAGCAAATTTATTTGCTATCGGAGCAAAACTGCAATTGCTTATATAAATTCATCTTTAGCAAAATAATTTGTATCTTATAGCAAAATAATTTGTAGATTTAGCAAATTATATCCAGCAATAAATAGTGATTATATCCAGCAATAAATAGTGATTAGTACTCTTAGCAAATCTTTTTGCTGTCCATATAATAATAAAAAGATTTTGTTAGATCAGCAGAAAATTTGCTGGGCCAACAAATTATTTTTCTCCGAGTAAGTATACGACGGCAGTTGTCGCCACAACAACTCATCTATCGTATCATGTGCGATTATTTTTCAATTTTTAATGAATAATTCAAAATTTTACATGGTTGTTTACAAAATGGCAGATAAATTTTGTGTTTAGTTTGACCTAATCTACAAGTACATAAGATATGGAATGCACGAATAGTGTCAAACATCCTGTATATCGTTACTTATCTCTGAAGAAATGATTGTTAATTTGAGTATATCAGTTTTAGATAAATACTAATTATTTTTCTGTGGAGGAACGAGCTGCAGTTAGCTGATAAGCGTAGACGATAGTATTTCTCGCTCTCTCGGTATGAATTCTAATGCTGGGCTCGAGATAGAATTCCCGCGATATCACGTAAACGCCCCGCGATTCCGCCCGCCCGTACATACTTACGTACGTCCGGCACTTTCGTTTCGATGGCGCGTTTTCTCGACTTTCTATCGATAAATAAGCATTACCGGTAATTACCGGTGAAATAACGGTGCCGCCGGCGAAATGAATTCGCGATCGCGTCTTTGCCCGGCGCAAGTGCGGAGCGCGATCGCAAAACAAACGTAACATTAAGCGCACGTCCGAGCACGATATACGTGCGCGTATATCACAGTGGTTTAGATATCACGGTGATTTAGATGTGGGCTGTGTAATTTCGCCTTTACATTGAATCTACTCTCGACGAAAACTTTCCATCGTCGCGTCTTCTTTCCGTTTTCGCAATTGTGTGAGATGCAATTGTGTGATCGATATATAATTTAAAAAGTATAGATAGCATTGAGAGAGAGAGAGAGAGAGAGAGAGGCTCTTCGCAATTGTTCAAAAAATCAAACATAGTCAATTTTCATCTCTTTAAGAGTATTCATTGACAAGCTTAATCCTTAAAAATATAAATAAAAAAGACGCGACTAGTAGAAAATGACACAACATTAGTGGAAAATCAAAACTGTTTTTAATTAATTTTAGGCGTTTATAAGGTTTAAATCTCTTTTGTTTTATGTATGAATTATGGTATATAAGAAAGATGTATGGACTATCTATTGGTAAGAAAAGCTTAAATCATAATTTTATAAGTTGGATCATTCTTGCGTAACTATGGCCTAAATTAAAGGAGATTGGGACGGACGATCGCGTACGATAATATACCAATGTTAATAATTAAATGCCTACGTTGTTATTTGCAAAATGATAGAAGATTTTTTCATCTACAGTTTGACCTAATTTACAACGGCAGTTGTCATTACCACAACCGTATCATGTATGATTATTCTCTAATTCTGAATTAATAATTCAAAATTTTACAAATTTGTTTACAAAATGGCAGATGAATGTTATAACTTTATTTGAACATTATAATAGTTTCATAAGAAGTACAATATGATTATTTTGGTGATAAAGATATTTTCTTCCAAGACATTTAAAGACATATTCCCGATCCAATATTTCGTCCTTTCCATTAATGAAAATTATTTTTAAATAATAAGAACACAGATTTTTTTTCGTTGTCATACAAAATATATCTTTGAGATAATTTATTTTTGTTTAACGCTATGTGATCTCATTTGAAGATTAACATGACAAAAGCATCAAGCATCATACTTTTTAAGCAAGTGTGTTCTGTTTTCTGCGTCGCAGAAACGGAGCGGCTTATGACAAATTGCAGTGCGTGCGAGTGGTACTTCTGCAGCGCTTTATGCGGATCTGAATCGTGCGACGCGAATCTCGTACGTCGATCCCGATCGACGATTCCGTGACCAACTCTGGCGACGGAAAAGAACATAGCGCGATTTAATGAGCTCGTAAAATCAGCGTGCAAACGGCGAACGTCCAATTATCGCGGTCATCGCGCGCTCTTTCTTACGATCGTTCGGCCGTTTCTTCTTTTCCACCGCGCCCGACCGCGGACCTTTTAACATCGCGGATTCGTCTCACCGGCATCGAAGCGAGTCATCCGTTTGTACGGAACTATAATTTGAAACAGACCGGATCGGTTAAACGCGCCGCAGTGCAAATATCAATTTCCCGCGGTGCGTTCCTCTTAGGCTGCATTCCGATATTATTGCCAATACTAGCATATTGGAAAGTCGTTCCGTTATTAACACGAAGTGCACTGCGACGGCATCTGGTTCTATCGATGATAGAAAATTTTTTGTAATCTAGTTGGGATTCAATTAGCCCAATTTTCCACATCATAGGTGCCAGATGAAAAATTCATGCAGGTTTTAGTTAGAATTGTAACATTTTGAACATGTTAATTTAAGTGGAAAACCCAGACAGATCCCATTTGGTCATCCTCAACTTTTTCCCAAAGATTTTTGCTGATTTACATTTCAAACTAAAATTAAACAAAATATATGAAACACTTTAAGTATTTACTTGTTACAAGTGTGTATGTGTGTATATATATATTTGCCCGAGGAATTCATATAAAATAAATGAATATTTAAAATAAAACAATACATATTTCTATTTTAGAAAAAAACTTACAAATTTTTAAATAAAGAAGAAATATATATCCTTTTTATCTTGAAAAAAAAAATATATATATTATTTTAACAAAATATATGCTATATGTAAGGAATAATACACTGTACGCGACAATCTGCAATTAAAACCAGTAAAAGGGGAACACAGCCTTAGTCATCAGCAGCTCGTGCGGTGTCGAGGTAAGATTTCTCGTCTCGGTCGGTCTTCCCGGATATTGAAACCTTGTTCCGTTGTTTAACCGTAACTGTTAGCACGTCGATCGTTACGCTCGCAGTGGTAGACATGTAGTGTTAAACATGTCGTCACGTAAGCGAACTATAAGAAATGCTCCTTGGGTTTTTTACAATCTTTCTTATCTGCAGATTCTTTGTCAAATCGTACTTCACAATAATCTACATTTTTACAATAATCTGCATTTTTTTCTCATAATAGTTTACATTCCACATTTTTCATAATAATTTTTTACATCGTAGTTCATACAATAATTTTCTCAATAGGAAGGAGAGACCGAAGGCTGCTTTTATAAAAAAAAAAAATAAGACTTTACATCGAGGATTTATATTTGGTATTTACAACGATTTCAGTTTCAACGACGTGAAAGTAGATCACGAAACTTCACTCTTCTGCTCCACGTGAAATAAAATTTATCGAATAAACAAATCTACTGCGTCCCAATTCTGGATTTAATTCTTTGTGAAATCGTGCTTCGACTAGTTTATTATAATTTTTTCACAATAAGGAGGAGAGATTCGAGGACTGCTTTTATAAATAAAATTTCATCGAGGATTTGATATTCACGACGATTTCAGTTTTAACGACGTGAATGTGGATCACAAAATTTCATTCTTCCGATCCACGTGCAATTGAGTTTACAGTCTATCGAATAAACGGTTCTATCGCATTTCTATGTTAGAGTTAATGCCAAGTTCCGATGTCATCTCCACGGTAACCGTCTGCCATTTGTTAAACGAATCTTTCGACGGAGCTAGACGAGTACATCCGATATCGCATGCGTCGTTTAACAGAGCACGGCGCCGCTTACGTCTGCGAGAATCGTCCGTAACGCGAAACGGTGAATTTTCACAGCCGGCTTGAGGCGCTGACAGGTATACAGTAATACGTACCGCAGCACGGCTTGCCGAAGTCCAGACGCACCAGCTGCACCATGTACGGCTCCAACAGGTTCACGTACCACCACGGTTTGCGCTCTGGCATCGTCAGGGTGCAGGTATGCGGCGTGTAACTCTGACTGCTACTTCCGTCGACCGCGCGTTGCGGAATTCCGCCCTCCGTGTTGCTGGACTGCATCGGCGCCTTGCCGCCGGCCACGTTCAGAACTGCGGACGAAAAGATTAATATATTGGATCGTCATGCTCGCTAATTGCCGCGAAACAGTCTGTCTTCCGAGGACACTCCAACACGTAATCGGTTCTCTCTCTTTTTTTTTTTTTCTTTCTTTCCTTTTTTGCGCGCGGAGAATTCGCCACGAGAGCAAGAATCGCGCGATTAAATAACGTGATACACGAGAGAGCGTTTCTTTTCTATTCTGACAGTACGCAGAAAATACACGTGTAATAAGAGTATATCTGTGCGAGAGACATTACTGTATCTCTACACTTCCGTAATCGGAAGTGTAGAGTTTTAGAGAGACGTCGAGGGCTGTCCAAGTAAGTCAACTCGAGACGTAGGAGATTGAAATCTCTAATGACAACTTAACGAGATGATTGTCAGTTTTCGGTCTTACTGCGCAGAGAGAGAGAGAGAGAGAGAGAGGTATTTTTCAATACATGCTATTACATTGTGTGATCGACGAAAGACTACTGATCGATAAGTGCTACAGTTACAGTTGATTGTTACAGAAGGTTGCAAGATTTTTAACTAATCAAAAACAGTTTTTGACTAAATATATAGGAATCTTGGTCCAAATTCCCTGCATATGGTTCAAAATTATAGAAATTTTCTTGTAATTTTCAATACAATATTTTCTTTATTTATTTAATAGGAAAATGTCTCTTACGAATCTCTTATTAAAGAACAAATCCTTATATTGCAAACGGAATGTGTTGCGAAACTTATCGAGCAAAAATATTCCCAAGAGATTGCACAAATGTCTAAAATATACCTTAGAGACATCCTAAGGACGTCGAAGACAAGTATGATATCTTTCAGATGTCTTTTCAGATTTCTAAGATGTCTTTTAGACATTTACGTATTATTGTATGACTTGCATCTTGAATCAACTGACTCCGCGAGAGGGACTCTTGTGAATTCATGATCTCTCTCGCCACGAACTACATATCTCTTTCCAAGCAACCCTTTGCCAATTGTTTCTCACTCTAACACAGCAACAATTACTGAATCGATTGAAAGAAAGTCCCCATTGAATACTGTATTTCAATAATAGACAGACATAAAAGATCACATTATAAATCGCACGCAGTCGACGCAAAACGGAGATGGACGCGGCAGATAATTGCATTGTGCACACACCCACGCAATCTTTGCGCTTTTTCTTTCCTCTCACGACGCGCGCATACCTCGGTGACGCGGCAGTAATTGCCCGTGTGTGAGAAAATCGCGGTAACTCATTGCCATATCCATCCGATAAAAAGAAGGTCGACCACAAGCCGCCGCCGCCAGCGCACGGGTGAATAGCCGTACGGCACGCAGATGGGATGGCCATCGGACGCACGGCCGTGGTCGCCAAGTTTTGTGCAGCAAGTGCCGTGCATTCGCGAACAAGTCGGCGGCCTTGCGGTAGTTTTACTGTACCGTAACGTGAGAATTTTATCGGCGTTAACGTGCGCGCGCGCGATGCTGGGCGACGATGGTGCGTGCCGGTAGCCGTCGATCGCACGCGTTTGCGGCTTGGCGTCTCGTTCGCGCCGCCTTAATTGTGCCTAATCGGACATCCGGCTCGACGTGGACGGATCAGCGTCCTTGGATCGCGTAAGATTGATCTAATCAACTGCATCCTTGAGTCGTTGCGCTACTTAGCGCATTCGACCTATATTCGCGATTACCTGACGACCTCCCGTTCTACGTTACGTCACTTGCCTGATAAAGATTCTAGAGAACGTTGTAAATGTTACTCAATAAATAATCTTGACGCGCGTCACGCTGGTAAGTTATATAAGTGTACCAAGTAGGTAGACACGGTATACGATGTAAGGCAATTAGTCCATAAGCCCCTTCTCTTAGAAAGACTTTAAAATTTTTAGCAGTATGTTAAGGGAAACACACACACAATGCTTTGTAAGCATTAATATCAGTATATTCCTTCAGCTTATGTAGCCAAGAGATGGAGATTTGGTTTACAATTACATTTTTTTCCACATACATATTCATTCATTCCTTATTTCTACCTATCCAGTTATTAACTATATTCCTATAGTTACATTACCTCTCTCTACTTGACTTTACAATATGACTTCGTTACCTAAATGCCCTTGCAATCTCCTCTCACAATCTTTTTAATTTTTTAATTATCTGATCTTTACACTATCCACATCTCTCTGTCTATTATGTTTAATTACACTTCCCTGTTTCACTCAACGAGTACCATATCATCGTCTTCATACACAATACTTCAAATTCTATCTTTTACTTTAACTGTGTATACTTATTCCTTGATTTTTCCTCTTCCTATCCTATCTCCTTATTTCCTCTTCATTCTCTTTTCCTCAATTTTCTTTCATATCTTGTTAGTTTTATTACTCTATACATCCTCCTAACATCTTATTAACATCATGAGATAAATTCCTCTATCTTTTTCTTCACTTTTTATATGTCTCCTTCAACTTACATCGCTAAGATAAAGTTTTCCATATCCCATAACCTTCCTCTTATTCTTTGCGTTTCAATCTTCTTACTTGCATAGCACCTGTCTCACCAAGCCTGTCTGCATTACCTACACTATTCTTTTAATTAATAAAAAGCTTGAAAAGACTGAAGTTTAAGTAATATGTCTAATCGTCCTAATTGCACTTTCTCAGACAAAAATTAATTTTAAATAGTCATATCTAAAAAAATCTCACGGAAACGAGATAAAACGCATTTTAAAGCTAAAGTGTATTCATAAAATAATTAATACGAATTCTTCATTAAATTAAACTAATTAAATGTGTGAAATTTAATAAATAATCCCAAATAATGTGGTAATTAATAAGTAGTAAGTTTTATCGTTACTCTCTTGCGATAGTATTAAAAAGTTATACATAACAAATCATATATAAACGTTTAACACAGATTTGCCGGCTTTCTTCGTACTGTATTAATCATAAACTTTGAACAGTATTGTCACGGGCCAGCTATCTTAACTATCACCTGGGAGATACCTATCGCCTGTTCATGTTGAAAGCGCGAATTATCGGTGAGAACAATGTCTCGACGGGCTTCTTATGAATATGCAACGTATTTCCCTCGTAATCGACTCGTAATTCGTAAAACGGTGATGTTGCAGCAGGTAAGCATTTCGTGGCGGTGGCACTGCCGCCGCCGCCGTCCCGTCGCGAGATATCTCGGTATAATTTTTGCACGCAACCTCTTACCACGGCCCCGAAGTATCTCGGCAGAATCTCGCGGTGGAACACAATCGAGAGATGCACAGACAAGAGGGGCGAGAGTGCACATCGCGTGCAAGAAGATCCAACGAGCGAACAAAGGACTCGGAGGTCCGCTCGACGTACGCGCCGAGATAGGCCGATAAACGCGTTGGGAAATAGCGCGGTCAGGTTTATATTCGGCGAGGTTAATCCGCGGGTCTCTAATTGTATTCCGCGGCTGTGCGCGGAAACGCGCGCTCAGGAGGAAATTCGCGCAGCCGTGGAAGAGATGGAGAACAACGCCTGGTTGCGCAATCGGTTCCGGCTCTTGATGGAGAATCGTTGGACCTGGTGCTCGAGTATGAGCATCCTGAGCGCACACGGGGATCGAGTTCAGCGCGCAAACCGTTCTTGAACTTCGACGGCGCATTCAGAGGCTACTTTCATGGTTGAAGAATTATTGCGGCCCGAAGAGACGTTTTCTCGTCTCACTTTTTGGTGCTGTTAATCCCTCCTTTTTATCCTTCGGTCCCTTTCGGCTGTCTCTTTCGAGTGCAGACACATTAAAGAGTTTATTGACGTGCGCGCGATTATTTTATATTACGAAGCGTTTGAGTTGGTTTTACACTGAGAAGCCATCGCCGATACTAGACATAGGTTCGACACACAAAACGATAATCGACGCATTCTCGACCTAAACCCACATACTGGCTAGCGCCCCCATGAAAGTCCATGTATGCCGCGCACGTATGTTCCCACAAGAGGCGTACGTGCGCCGTGCTCACCTCATAATTTACAGTTATTTCTTGTACACGCAAATGCGAGAGCATCTTCGCGTTGCCCATCGCTTCCGTCGATACGCGTAACGAGATATATGGAGCACAGTCGGATTGCACCTGCTTCCGGCGCAGCGATGATAATTATATACACGGAGAGAATATTGTAGTAAAGATTACAATGCAGCCTTAGTACTTCGGGAATAGATGGCACTATGATGAAAATTATAATAAGATATAGTAAAAATTATCATGTTTATAGTCATTTTTACTGTTTTTTAAATAATTTTTCGTAATATAATGCCAGACTATTCCCGGATTACTAAAACTAAATTGTAATTTTTACTATAATATTCTTTCTGTGTAAAATAAATTCGATGTTTTACTTAAAGATTGAGATATTGTGGCTCATAAATAAAATTCATAAATAAAAGTCATAAATAAAATTCAAACGGAGATAATAAATATGTACTTTTTCCTGAATATTCGCAGGAAAAACCAATAAATCGTCTATTAGTCCAGAATATAATTAATAATCGTTATTAATATGTATTAAATTATGTAGAAAAATTCAATAATACTGCACGTTAAAGAAAACTTATAAAGGAATAAAAGTGCAAGTTGCGGTGAATGTTCACTTTAGGGGAGTCACCTTCGATGACCTTGATCTTGACATATATTGTTGAGGTCATCGTCCTGAGTAACATGCAAAAGGTTTTAATCGTCGCTTGTTATTTATTAAAAAGTTATTAACAAAAAAAGTTTTATAAACGGAACGTTTTGATATACAATTTTGATGTACAATATACATTGAAATATGGTGAACCATATACGTATATGCGCGCGGGAGGGGCTTCGCATAATTACCATAACATTCTATCATTATCATTTACCATAATATGGTAAAAAGTATGCATATACTGTTTGCGCATATACGTGTACTGTTTACCATATTTCAATAGATGGATTAGGTTAGGGTTAGATTTTTTGGGAGGGGGTGCAGGGGGAAGGGCGGAG